CCACCTGAGACCGGCACACACCCTAATCTTGTCAGAGACCTCACCTCTGAACCACCGTTATAAAACCCCTCATCAGATCCTCCTGAGTTGGGACACATAGTTCTTTGCGGCAGGCACTGGCTGGGGCCCCTCTTGCCTGGCAAAGCAATGAAGCTATTCTTTTCTTTTTCCTTCACCCAAAACTCTGAGATTCAATTCGGCACCAGTACAGAGAAGCTGAGCTTTCGGCATCAGTTAGGACTTCAACATACGATGCAGGGTTTTGGCGGGGGGCTGGTGGTTCACAATTCAGCCCATAACAGATGCCAGGGGATAAGGTGGGAAGCATCTAGCTCCTCAGAAGAAAGGTGCTCCTGGACATCACCACTGGGTGGGGATGCCAGGTGGGCACCAAGGAACCCAGGACTATTCCAGGGTACCTGGCCCCCAACATTTGTACCCTAGAGCAGCAGTCCCCAACCTTTTTGGCACCAGGGACTGGTTTCAGGGAAGACAATTTTTCCACAGAATGTTTAGCATTGAATGTTTCGGGATGAGTCGAGCGCATTACATTTACTGTGCACTTTATTTCTATTATCATTACATTGTAATATATAATGAAACAATTATACAACCCACCACAATGCTGACAGGAGGCGGAGCTCAGGCAGTAATGCGAGCGATGGGGAGCGGCTGTAAATATAGGTGAAGCTTCGATCTCTCTCCCCCCACTCACCTCCTGCTGTGCAGCCTGGCTCCTAACAGGCCACTGACCACTACTGGTCCGTGGCCCAGGGGTTGGGGACCCCTGTCCTGGACAGGTTCTACAGCTCCCCCGCAGGATTTCTTCATATACACTCAAGTGGATTTGGAAAACTAATGGAACAGAGAGAGAATGGGGTGGGGGCCGGTCCAGCTCACCCCTGAGATTAGGGTTGGGGTGGGTCCAAGCCATCGCACTCCCCCATGGCTCTCCACCCCATGTGATTTGGCAGGATCTGGATTAAAGCACATAAACCAAGGGGCAGTTCTTGTCACTGACCGAGAATTCCCGCTTGGTGTTGGAGGGCGTGGAAGACAGTAAAAATCTATGTCAGATGCAGCTCTGCTGATTGACAACATGCACAGAGCATGCATGTCATGATGGCCTAGATGCGGCCCTTTTCAGCAGTACGAAGGTTCCTGAGTGTCCCTGACCTGACTGTCCTCTTCCACTGCTGAAGACACCCCAGAAGAGGTTCCCAGAGGTTCCCCTGCATTTCATTTCATGGTTTTAAATCTCTGGCCAGGAGGGAAAGGAGCTGGCTTCTCGAAGCCCAGAACATTCCCGGAGTTTTCTCCAACATTAACGAATAGGGTTGCTTTCTTTTCTATCCCTTTCTCTGAATGACCTCGTTCTGGAAGCTGAACTGGTCCACCCCACATGCCACAGAGCCTCTGATATTTCTCGGGAGGGCGGGGGTGGCTGCCCAGCCTGACCTGTTCCACAACCTCAGGCGCCAATCAGGGGGCACTGAGCCAGGCTCTCTCTTACCTCCCCTGCCCCTTCTCTCTGCTGACCCCGGAGGGCAGCCCACAGCTTTGCTCAGCCCGTCCTGGTGCCCCATCAGAGCTCCAAGCCACCAGACATTCTGCAGCAGCTTGGAAAACAGGAAACCTGAACTTTCAGTCCCAGCCTGAACTGGGAAAATCACTTGTCCTCTCTCGACCCCAGCTTCCTCATCTATGAAGTAAGCAGGTTGACCGAAGCCAGGGCCGGGAAACAGATTCCTGGTGCGGCTCTGGGCGAAACTGTGCTGTGTCTGAGATTCGCCTGAGCTTGTGGGGAAAGGGCGCCGTGGCTAAGCTGTGACATCTGCCTGGACTTGGGCCTGAGAGCACTGACCCTGTGGCAGCCTCTGGCCCTCCCAGGACCACAGAATCCGCCCCAATTTCTAAATCCCCTCCCCTGCCCGGCCTGACACAGCACCTTCCAGACGGCCTCCAGGAGCTGCAGGGCACCTCACCACACCCAGGCCTCCTGGGTCAATGCTCCTGCACCAGAAGGCGGGGCTAATGCCCACGTATCTCTTAGACCCTAATTCCCTACTGACCCAGCGCTCACAGTCACCACCCCACCCCCGCTGCACCCTGAGCACCCCAACATCCTCAGCCTCTTCTTAGACAGTCCCCTGCCTCCCTGCCTTAACCGAAGCTCGGCTTTCACCAAAGACACTGTTTCTCCTGCCACCGCTCAGCTGGTGCTACACTTCTCCCCCTCACCGCCCCCCGCCAATGCATCTCAGAGCTGAGGTGGGGGTCCTCCTGACCCCCCCGTCACGGTGTCCAGACCACCTCCCAGCCCTCTCATCACACCTGCCCCCTGGATGTCAGATGGCCCTGCAATTCCGCCCCCTCCTGTCCTCCAGGCCAGCCTCTGATCACTCAACCTCTCGTGAAATGAGTGTCTCTCTCTCTTCAGCACAAAACAAATTTTGTAATTAATTTCCTTCTTTCCTGAATCAAACCTGCCACCAGGGATGTCAGGGCCAAGCTGTGGCTTGGTATTCCTTCCCATAATTGAGGGAGGTTTCCCTGCTCAGAATTTTGAAACTCAAACTCTACCAAGCCATGTGGTAGGAAATCGGTCGGCAGGTAGGTCATCATTAATCTTTCATCCAGTTGACTCTGTGATGAACAATCCCACAAACTCCCTTGGAGTCACATGAACGATGGCTGCCAACAGATGCCCTCCCAGTTTACGGGTTTAAGGCCATCACCCTGAGGGGTCTGGAAGAATTCAAGAAGAGCATTCTCAACCCCAAGACTCTATCTGGCAGTTTCAGACTAAGGAAGCCCCGCAGCCTCTCTCCTAAGGAAACAGCTTCAAAAATCTCTCTGGATACTTTTCATCTGTGTCTGCCGATCTGTGATTCACAAACCTAGCTAATATTTGTCCGTCAGAAATTAAGAAAAAGCAGGCAACCAGACTGAGAAAAATAAGAATAACATAATAAACAAGTCACAGATCTGACTTTGACTGATTTCAAGGGATGATACTTGATTAAAACTATGTCGTTCCCCCTTCTCTGGAATTGAAAGTCTTATCTTTTATGAAACTATGGTGATAACAGTGAGGTGGAGTTATCTGGAAGAGTTGCATTTAAATCAGTCCTCCAAATTCACTGTGCAGTTTTTCTGGTAAAATCCCAAAGTCAGAGAACCACAGAGCTGGAAG